GGCGGCGGCCCTTGGGGCCACCGCTGAGCGCAGCCGTCGTCGTCGGGCAGCGGAGCTCTCCTCCGGTGACCCTGGCCTCTCCCTCCTTCCCTGAGCGTCATGGCACCGCCATTCTCCAGGGGGCACCCGGGGGGATCTCCATGGCCCGGGGCGGGGGGCATGCTGCGCCCCTGCGGACCGGCTCCCACGCCCCCCTCTCTCCGCGGGGCCCCGGGTACCGGGCCCTTTCCCCCGCGGCGGCCAGCCCGCTGTGAGGCGGGCTAGGGTGGCTGGCGCGGTCCCCTCGCTCGGTCTTGACGTCAAGAAGCCGCTGCCCTGCTCTCTGCCTCTCTGGGTTCTGGCAGCCCGTTACCAAGCAGCCAAAAGCTGCCTTCCAACAGATGCAACCGCCAGCCGCCAGGCGCGGCCTCCGCCCCGCGGCTCCCCGCCTCCTGCCTCCCCTGCTCCTCCCGCCTCCCCTCCCGGCACCGAGGCAACGAGCGCCCCCCACCACCACGGAGGGCGCAGCTGGGGCCCCGGGCGAGGTGGGCAGGGGCTGAGCTGGGGGCAGCGGGCGGAGGGAGGGAGGGAGTGGAGAGGATGGAGGAACAGGTTGCACCCAGAGCGCTGAAACTCCCAGGGCAACCAGATGAGAATCGCTCTGATTTCAGTTCACCTGGGAACGGGCTGAGCGCCAAGTGGATTCTCGGGGAAATGACTGTCTTGGGTTGGAAGGATGAGGCTTTGAGGTGAGCCCGAGGATGCGAGAGGGCAGTCGTTTTTACATTTCTCCTTCGGAGGAGTAACGGTTCTCGGCTTCGGGAGGAATTACAAACACGAGGGGGCGGGGCGGGGCGGAGCTATGGGCCTTAAAAATAAATATGCGCATTTGGAGACCAATGAAGAAGCATCTCCAGAGAGACAGCAAGGTCCCACTGTAGGGCACAGGGAACTACATTCAGTGTCTTGCAATAGCTTATGAAAAAGACCATCGAAAGGGATATATATGTAGGTATCACAAAATCACTACGCTATATACACCAGAGATTAACACATCGTCAACCGACTATACTTCAATTTAAAAATATCCTCAAAAAATGAAATTCTGAAAAATTAACGCTGAAGTGTAATTTACCTGGAATAAGAACTGAAAAAAAAAATTTGCGGGGAAGGGTGTAGCTCAAGTGGTGGAGCACATGCTTAGCATCAACAAGGTCCTGGGTTCAGTCCCCAGTACCTCCTCTAAAAAAAATAGTAAGTAAACCTAATTACCTTCCCCACAAAAAATTTTTTTAAATGTTTAAAAAATTGCAATAAAATGTGCTTCACAGAAATTAAAAAAAAAGCATCTCTCTTCCCATTTTCCTACATATGACATTCACTCCAAAACCTAACTGACTGAAAACCTCCAGCGCCCCCGTCCTTGCCCTCGGGAAAGCCCTGGTCCCCAGAGCTGACAGCGGTGCTCCCCGGACACACAGGCGGGAGGCTGAGTCTGGAGACCAGATGGCTGACTTTACATCCCTGAGACGCACAACCTCAGCTCGCCCCACAAATCCCTGTGTAGAAACCCTTAGCCGGGAAGGGGTGGGGGAGAGAGGGCCGGGTGGGCGCTGCTCCCGCCCAGCAAAGCTGGGAGCTGGGAGGGCAGGGGGGTTCGTACCCGGGCTGGGGGCTGGGGGCTCTGGGAGTGGGAGCCCGGAGCCGGTGGTGCCCCCAGGGCTGAGCAGCAGGATGAAAAGCAGTGCTGACTTTGCTGTTCTGATGGACAAGGCGCATCCCCAGCACTTCACAAATACTGCCTGGTCTATGCCCTCAGCCACCCCTTTTCTCAGAAATATTGTCCCCCTTTTATAGATGAGGAAAAGGAGGCACAGAGAGAGCGACTAACTTGCCTAGGGTCACACAGGCAGAAAGTGGCAAGCGGGAATTTAAGCCCAGGCGAGCGGAGTTTGGGCCCTTGTTCTGTCCACTCGGCTCCTCTGCAGAGACGTGCAACCCCTTCTATGATATAGATGCCCCTCCTCCCAACATCCGGCCTCACAGCTTTCGTTCCTGCAGCGGCGGGGGCCTGGGCAAGAAGCCGGCTAAGTGCTTCCGGATCAGGAAGCCAGGCTCTCGGCCTGCCCTGGCCCTGCCGGGTGATTGAGAGCATCTGTGGCCAAGGAGGAATGTGCTTCGGGACACGACTGGCAGTTCCAGGCGCAGCCTCCAGGGGGTTGTCGGTTTTAAGTTACCCTGAAGCCCCTCATTCTGGAATGTCTGCTGGATCGTCTCTTTCTGTTCCTGGAGGTGGTTGGGGTTTATCTGTGTGATGCCATCTGCAGGCAGGGGCTGTTCTGGAAAGCCGGTCTGGTGCACAAGTGTGTGTCGGAGGAGCAGGGTGTGGACTCACAAGCTTGTGTCCGGGTTGGAGGAGCGTGCGTGCGGTTGGCTGTCCTCAGGGACATGCATGCGGGAGGAAGGGGCGTGAAAGTGAAGATGAGTGTGTGTGTGGAGGCATCGCTGGTTGTCTGCAGGGCCTTGCACGCTCCTCACCAGACCTGTGCTCTTCCTGCTCCATCTCCTCTGGGTTTTTCTTCTTCTCAGGCTCTGAGGTCGCCAGTCAGGATCAGGTCTGCCCCTGGGGACCCGGGGCTGCAGACTTCATAATGGGTGGGCCTAACGTACATGCACGCA